CGCTCACCGTAGAATCTATATTTAGTGATGAGGTGAGGACCGTTGCCTGTTGAGGACTTCCGACTTGGATTACCAGTTTCTCATTCACCTGCGAACAACTAGGGACAGATAGAGGTGGGATACCAGAGAGAGATCGTACTTTTCGAAGTTTATCTTTCAGCTTTCACCACTCGAACACTTCCTTCAGAAAGATTGGGATGAATTCTGATTAGGGAAGCCGGCACGCACTGGGGACAGCTAACAACGTGTAGTGACTGTACCACTCTCTTTGACTCACATCGGGCACTCCACCGTCATGATTTAAGGAAGCAGGCTAGCTAGTGCTATAGATATAGATTGAGTCCGGCAAGCTTTTAAGTAAATACAAGGTGCTCCACTTCTAGAATATTAAGTAACTAATTGGTGAAGAAGGAAGGTTAGCTTAAAAGAAGTCATTCATTGGCGAGGAAGACTGATCTCTTTTACACAAGGTCGAGAAGTCACTCAGGTATACAATATAGAAGAAATGCGGTTGATAAGCGCCCTGGAATTCCATTCTAATAGAGCGGCTCGAGGTCAAATCCATGTTCCTAAGTCAAGATGAAGCGAATACTAAAGTAAGAAAAGGAAACTGAAACTCATCCCGTTCAAGCGTATGAGAATCTATAGTTTCTAGCCTGAGACGAAAGCATTGGGACTCCTACTTGCTTGCCCGCGCTGATTGGACAGAAAGCCTTCCTTTACTACCACCGACTGAAGACCGGATTGTTACCAGAGAAAGGAATGACTATAGGCACGGAACTGGCTTTTTACCCTTTCTTTGCCCCGCTAGCTGACTTGCCTGCGCTTTTTTCTCGAACTCTAAGAGCGGATTTAAGGAATTTGCTTGATAGCATCAAGTAATGGGAGATTTATTTGGACTTTCTTAAACATCTCCATGATTTCATTGTAATGAGTGTGTCTTTCTTGGGCGCAACCAACCGTTGAGGATATGGAGGCTTGGTGTTCTCTAAGAATGAATTTTCTTTTCTTGTTTCGGAGATACATATCTTTAGTTGAGGTATCCCAAATGAGCCCTAAAAGTGGCAGAAGTAGCCAGCCATTAAGTAGGTTTAGTCAGTTCACTAGGAAGAAGTAAACCACTCACCCCCAGCTTTATAATGGGCCGGTGGAAGACAGAAACGTCTATTTTCCAAGAAGCAAGCGAGGGAATTCCCTGTTGTTACAAAAGAGAGCTAAACAAGTCAATGCGCATCGTGGAACTATACTATATGTCCCTCGGCCGGATCAAGCAGCGGGGTTGCTTCAGAAGCAAGTAAAGGCTCAAGGCAAGCTCAGGTCACCAGAAAGTGGGCATCAGAAATAGGCCTTTTTTCTATTTCTAAGCACTCAATAAATGCCACTTTCAATAATAAAGGGTTATTCACATGCACCGATCAGAACCGTACTTAACTTACCAATCAGAATGCCGTGGTGGAACCGCAGGGACTGCAAGGTGAAAGCATTACTTTGATTCAACTGATCGGTCGGTCTACGCCCTTCGTGGAGCATGCAGTTCTCCCGAAAAAGACTTGTTAGAGAAGAGGGGGCTATTTCGTATCAAGGTTTGGAAGAGATATGTACTAGAAGCGACTCCTTGGCATAAGCACTAAGTGAGTTACTCCCTAATCTTCTGATCAATCCGAACCTTCTAACTCCTCCTATCTTGTAGCTGCTTTTGCCAGATCTGATTGAAGTAGGTGAATCAAAGGATATCTCAGACAGGCAAAGTCATTCTATGAGCACTTGTGCCACTTTGTGAAGAAGTCCTTATCTGCGGTTAGCGAAGTACTTATCTGGCGCTGCTGCCTATGAATTCTGTTTCAACAGCTGCTACCCGCGGTCCTGAGCCCGTTTTAGAGACCATTTCACTACACAGAAATAGAAAGACCCGGCTTCCACAACTACAACTAAGGCAGGAACAGCTAATTACATAGTGGGTTCTAAAAGAAGCTGCTTCAACCGTTCGCACTAACCTCCCGGGCAGCGTTCACTACACTCGAAGCAATACAAAGCTTATTCTTTCCTGAATCAGACAATGATGCTTGTGCTTTCGCAGGGATTGGCGCAGACTACGCAAAGACCCTATATGAACCCCTATTTGTCGCAGCACATGAGGAACCGAGCTGCAATCGTGAATGCCAGAGCATTTCACTAAACTATAAGAAATACGCAGTTATGACTTGCTTAGCCAGTAAAACGTTATCTATTCACTCAGCTCAGTTACGAGCAAAAAAGAGGAAACGGCTCCCAATAGCTTGCAGCAATACGAAGCTGTATCTTGCTTAACAAAGAAACCTATCATTCCATGCTGCGCATTTCATTCCCAGCGAGCAAGCAAGAACACAAGAAAGAAGGGCGGCCGGCAAGAGCAAAGAAAAGAAGAGCAAACCCCTCTTAGCTAACAAATATGAACCCCTTTCGAGTACCCCTGGCATAGAAATAGAAAACACAACTAAATTTGATAACAAAATGTCCATTA